CACTTTATTATAAACTAGTTCAAAATATAATTAGCTATTAATCAACAAGTATCGATAACTGAGACCAGATTCTATCAGAACTTTGTGGCTGGGAAGAAGTGCCAACTGAGGGTGTAAAACATACAAAAAGAAAGCCAGAGACAAAATCTACCAACTTTTTGTCCACCCTAGGTTGGAGTGGAATATCTATCACTATGGCAAACATTCACTATGAGTTTGTGGCATAAATAATCCTCCTTACACTCAGCCAGGCATTGCAAAAAAGCATTGTGTTAAAATTCAAAAAAAAAAAAAAAAAAGGTCTGCTTCACTATATTTCTAATTTTTTAAAACTGCAAGTTCAATAAAAAATGAAGATATCTGTATTTAAATATAGTGATCACGATTATGTCATATGGTCCTTTGAAGAGGGCACCTCATGCCTTGTACCTCCCAGATTACTTTGATCCATTTCATTGGAATGACGGCAGCTGTGCTTGGCTGGGGTGTACAAAACCCCACTTATACTTTCCTGTTCACAGCTCTACTTTAGAAAGCTAAGCCCTTCCCTCAAAAAAGAAAAAGAGGGGCCACCCCAGTGGTGTAGCAGTTAAGTTCGCACGTTCCGCTTCAGCGGCGTGGGTTCACCAGTTCAGATCCTGGGCGCGGACCTACTCACCACTCATCAAGCCATGCTGAGGCAGCGTCCCACACAGAAGAGCTACAGCTCTACAACTGGGATACACAACTATGCACTGGGGCTTTGGGGAGAAAAAAAAAAAGAGGAAGACTGGCATGGATGTCAGTGCAGAGCCAATCTTCCTAAAAAAAATCAATAAAATTAAAAGAAAAAGAAAAAGAGGTGGAGAGAGGGGAGATTTATATACTACAGAAAAATAATAACCTTATTTGGGGCAGCAAGAGAGACTAAATTCCAGATTTTTATCTAAATCATATTCTACACTTTCTACCAACTGTTTTCAGTAGAATTAACTAGCTTCTTAAACAAAAAAAAAACTACTTTATAGGTGTTTATTCCTGTTAACATCTTAAGTTTTAACTACTTTTACCATAGCACCATTTTAAGGCAAAGGATTCAGACCACGAGAGGGGTAATGAAAAAAACTTAGCCTATGAAGAAAGACCTGGTTTGAATCCAGACTACCACTTGCTAGCTGTGTGACTCTGAAAAAGTCACTTAACCTCTCTGAGTTTCACTTTCCATATCTATGCAACAGGAATAAGCTATTGTGAGAGTTAAAGCACTCAAACACAATGCTAGACGCAGAACAAGACTCAAATTTCATTTCTCTTCCTTTCCTCAGGAAATATTTTTTTCACCAAGAAAGAGGAGTAATTTTAGAACATGAGACAGTTGGTGGGTTATCTGGATATGGTGGAGGTTCTTTGAACTGCTAGGGTATGATACGAAGGCAAAGGATAACAAATACCAGGGTAGAGGAGAAAACCGGGAGACGGAAGCCAAGTGTAGACACGCTACTTGCTGCAGGTTGTCATGCTTTAAAACTCCCCTACTCAGTTCAATCTCCCCAACCTAGGTTTCTCCAGTCTCATACAGTCAAGCCTCACCTGACTACCACCACCCCTTTCCAAGTAAAAAGTAAAGAATAAAGCAGCAAAAAGTGGGGAAAAGTAAACAATTGACAATGCATGCTCGTGGTGACATCCTTCCTCTGGGAGCCCTACCCCCTCCTCTCCACCTGTATTATTCTCACAGTATGTACCTTTCCTAGAAATGCAACCCCTGTGAATGTGAATGATCTCCTGCACAAAAATTTAACTTAAACTATCAAATTCTAAGCACCAAGATTCTAGAGAGGTGTAAATGTCTTATTTGTTTCAATGGTTTCTTTGAACCTACACATTTCATCAGGTAAAGAAAACTTTGGGATTTTATCTTAAAACTACTTAAGGATATAATCAAAAGGTCTGAGTGTCAAACAAAGCCACCTATCCATAACACATCCTGTTCACAAAAGTGTCCCAGAAACTCAATATAAACAAAATCCCTCTGTCTATTTCTAGAAGATAACACTGTGGTCTTCTGTAACCAACAGTATGTGTTACATACCCATACCCAGGCAATTATGTTTTCTTCCTCTACTCAAACAGAGCATCTGTTGCTAAGACAACACTGAAGTCCAAGTTATTTTCACAGACAAAAAAGCAGCTAGTCAAGCTAATCCATTTGCTGACTAGCCACCAGCAAGCTTCTGTAAGACTGTCCAGTTAACTTAACCTCTACTGTCAGATTGCATGAGTCAGAACTTCCAATCCGCTTTCAATTAGGATTTAACAACTCTTCTTTGGCACCACCATTTGAAATCATTTATTAAAGATAAAAAAACAGAAAACATACTTTAAAATTTAAGGACAAAGGTAAAAAATGACTAGACTGGTTTAGAAAAATAGTTATACAAATTATAAACAAAAAGAGCAAGTTATTCTGAAGTTAGGATTATGAAATTAATAACAGCTAACAGTACTTATGTGTGCTAGGCACCAAGTGATTTTTAACAATTAACACAATCCTCACGATAACCCTTTGAGGTTACATACAATTATCTCTATTTTGTAGATGAGGAAATGGAGACACAGAGCAAATTACCTAAGATCATTCGCTCATAAACAGGACTGGAGACCTGGCTCCAGAGCCTCCCTCTTAAAATTTAAAGCCCAAATCCCAATGCCTTACAAATAGGTATATATTCAAGCCATCTCACCCTTTGCTACTTGCAGTACCTAATCATTTTCCTTATACTGACTGAGGTACCATCCCTGGTATTATTGTCATTGTAACATTATGTAACAGGAAAGAAAAATCATGCCAGGGGTATATACTTACTGTCTTATTTAAAGAGAACTAAATATCCAGTTTAGTTCATTATTAGTTGAGGTATATAATTGATTTTGTAGTAATTCATAAGAAAAGGATGCTCAAATTCAGAGCACTAAATTGGTTATAAGCATTAACACCAGATACTCGTTTTAAGCTATAAAACAAAAGATTTTTTTAATCAGAAATATTATTTGATACCACCAATGAAATTCAACACATTTTCTAATATTGAAAAGTTGATTCTCAAAGTTATCACAAATTAAGATACATAAGTACCAGTAAGAAAGAACATCTAATTCTTTGCTATCTCTGGAGAAACTGCACACAGTACTTGTAGGTACTCAAACATATCATTTGGAATGAGACCAAATAAGTTCAAATCTTAACCTTATGGCTACTGGTATGACTTTGCAGGAGTCACAACCTGCAACTCTTGAGTCCTCATTAAAATAATGCATGCTTTAGCATTAATGCATGCATTAGCACTTATTCTTTGTAAACTTTAAAACGCTGTGTTTTCATAATGAATTATTTTACCTGATTTTTACAATAACCCTATAAAATATTCTTATTTCCACTGCATAGATGAGGAAATAGATTAATCACAGTTAAGTGATTTGCTCCATATGACAGAGCTAGTAAATAGGACATGGAACCCAAGTCTCTGGACTCCAAGTCTTTCCCTTTCATTTACCCTGAACTAATGTCCATTCAGATATCATATGATTTTTATCTAAGAAGTTAATAAGTTGTGAAATGTTTTACAAATTTAGAAAGAGATGTTTTAAATGTAGATATATTCAAGACACACAAAATGTAATTTTTTTAAAATGTCTTACTAATAGTCATGAAAATAAAAACTGGGCATACCCAACTGAGTTTCAACATGCACACATGCAATGAAATCACGTGCACTTTTGTTAAATACTATAATAGTCAATGCTTAACACATCACTACAGTATTCTCTCATGCCCTCAGTGCTCCTCAAGGAGGTGAATCCAGGCAAAATTATAGAAAACACTGAAGTCTTTCCAGTGCTTTCTATCTAATAATAGACAAGAATGGCCTCTTGGATATGCCCTTGTTTTCCCCTGCTACATTATTAATAACACTTGTGTTTCCTTCCTGTACTGTGCTATACTTCAATCACTACAATCTAAAAGAGAGCAGGGTGGTTGATTTCTATATAGGGATTATGACTGAATATTAATAACTCACTTCTAATTGTATTCAAAACATTGGCTATGTTCTCTAAATATTTTTTTTTCTTAACTGAAACGGCTAGTTCTGTATATCCTTTCATTAACTTGTTCAGAAAGTATAAAACATGTCACAACCACCAAGGTAACCGACCAGCAACACTGAACTGATCAAAGAGGGTGGGACCGCTGCCCTGACAACTGTCGGTCTTTTCTCTCAATTCAACCAACTCTAAGCACTAAGACCTGCTTAAGAACTAGTCCCGAGGGGGGTGGGGGGCGGTACTAAGGAGATCTGGTTCTAAAGAAGCACGTACTGTGCCAAGGGGAGAAGACTGGGTCGAGGCAAGAGCATCAGCTCCGGCGTCAGCAGGGAGAGCCCATGTGCCTCGGTTTCCTCATCTGCTGAGGAGGGATGAACCCTCACTAGCACGCTGGGATGCTGCAAGAATCAAAGGGGGCCTAGAGGGCTGCAGAAAAGGATTGATGAAAAAAAATGGGACGGCTCGCCATTTGCCCTCAGGAGCCAGGGCCCAAGACCAAGTGCAGGGCAGAGGCCAGCCTGGGTCACCGGGCGTGGTCCCCGCAGTCCTGCGGGCGCCGCGGCGCTCCGGCCAGGGAAGGAGGCCGGGCGGCCTCGCCCCACGCCGCCCCCGCAGCCCCG